TTTCATTCTCCTCTAACTACAAACCACTCTAGAACAAAAATAGAACAGAGAAAAATAGAGGAGGGAGATGGAGACTTTGCCGACGGTAAATCTTTTCTACTTCCGGTCTCGTTAAGTTCAAATGAAACTTAACGGCAACAAGATACCTCCATCTCCTTCGGATGAAATTTTTACGAGGAATTTGTGAATTTTTTTCGTAACCCCTGGTGGCCATAAACAACCGTGAAGAGTGGCTAAAGATTCATGCTATCGTTATTAATGTTGAAATAAATATTACTGAGGAACAAAATTGATTATAAATAAAATTTCAAGCATCTCTGCTTAGACACATTCCGTTCTATTTCTGTTCTGTACACCAGCATTCATCAATTCCATTCAATCCGCTGAAAATATTTTTAAATCCCTTCGAACTATGAACATTGAATCCGTAATTAACACCAATTTTTCAGGAATTAACTTCAGAAGTTATAAAAATTGATATTGAATATTTATTAATCATTGGCCGTTGTTATTACAAATTTAATGAATCATACAGTCGGAATGGAATGATATTTGTCAGAATTAAATGGTGTATGATAATTTGATAATTGGATGTCGCTAGCAATATTGACAATTACTGCATATGCCCCAATTAATAATTGTTAAGTGCCCTAACAGCGTATAGATATAATATATTGGCAATGTACAGAATAATATATAGAATAGCTCTTGTTTCATCATCAAAACGAGAGCAAGTAGAATAACTCGATGTGTAATCGGATGCATACCTGACATGACGAATACAACCCATCCCCATACAACCCATTCCCCACCAGGACTAAGTTTCGATCCTCTGAGCCGTTTCTCATTTAACTTTGGGGTGCCAGGTAATGAGCAATTGCGCCACCACAAAAACCGGAGTTTCTTAACAAAAAATTCACCGCAAAGTTTTTTTTAGCCAATCTAATCAGGTTGTTCTGCACGAAGAAAAAATACTTGAATTTAATATATTCTATACTTAATTCAAGGATTTATTAACATTTCGCCTATTTTCTATATTTTTATTTTCTAAACTTTTATGAATTCCCCAAAAAGTTTTATAAAATACGCGTCATCGCCAATGCATTCTTCAAAAGAGTCTTATTTAAAATATTATTGTGACATTCAACATCTGTAGAATCAGTGATATTTTTTGGATCTAGCGTTCGCCTGAAAAGTTGGCTATATATTTCGGCCACAAATTTCGGTGGCCAGTTTCCAAAAAAAAAATTCATTTACCCTCAAAGAAACATTTACACTATGCAATATAAGTCCGGGATCCTCAGCCACTTCCTTTTTCCATCGAGTGATGCGAGTCTATAAACCCTTGTAATAAAATTTTACTTTTACGAACGTCAGCCCAAGTAATAAATTTTTAATTTCCCTGGGTACTAGATCAAACACTTTTTACGATTTTCATATCGAAGTCTCCACCAATTAATACCAAGACCTCTTCAATTCTAATTGCATTTATTATGTGATCGGAGAATTCATTGAAAAACTAGGGAAAACCATGCAATTAAGAATTTACAGGTACAATCAAAAAAAAAGTTTATGATCTTTGCTATAATTCGTTGTACTTATCGCAATTAATTTTTTATTAATATTTCAATACGTTAATTACTGCAAGTAATATCCACGGAAAATTATTGTTGTATTTGATTCTACGAATAAATATTATGTTGTTTAACAAAATGAATGAAAAAAAATTTTATCGTTAAGAAATTTCAGAATATTTATTTCAATCCAATACAACTTATTTTTCTGGAGAATTACTGGGATTTCTGTTTCGCTCAACATAAATATTCACTTAGTACATAAAGTTGAAAGTTGAAAATTTGTACTAACTCGTTTAATAACCTGCTGGAGAATTACTGGAGGATCTACCATGATCCATTCTTCATTATTATTTTCCGAAAAAGAAATGACGATTCGTCTCCCCCTTCCTAAGCCAGATCATCATCTTCTTTAATAGGATAATAAAATGAACTATTAGATTGATCTTTATTGAGCAATAAGCTCAGAGAATTATGAATTACATAGTATAAACTGGGTAATAAGCTCACTTTATGAGAGAATATGTACCTGACAAATGGTGTATCTGTCATCTGTTTCAAGACTAACGAACCATTATTCAATTAAACATAGTATTAACATTTATCCCGTTAAATAGTTTATTGCAGTTTCAGTCAACGGTTTTACACGGAGAGAAAAATAGTGGAAAAAGTACATGAAAAATTACATAATATTGAAATGCGTGAAGGCTCCTGCGGCAATTAGATTTACTCGGCAAAAGTGCAAATTTTCGTTGCGTACTGAATATTCTGTATTCGTGGCAAAAAATGACTGACCCCCATAATAAGATCAACATCAACGTTAAATTTACGTTTCATTTTCACCTAAAACCGTAATTTAATCTCACTAGTAATATTATTTGTCTCCAAACAAACCCTTTGCTCAATTCCATCCGAAATTGAAAAAAAAAATAGGTCACCACTCCGGTATACTTTCGATTGCACGCTCTGAAAAGCCCAAAACCACGGAACCGGTTGATTAAAAATACCGAAAAAAAATAAAAATCAGATTCGCGGACAAACAGACGGGAATAAAAAGAAATCCGTAGACTTTCCAATGAAATAAATTCCACAGAGGCTTCACTTCATTATCATGGGCCATAGCAATTGAATTCGCTGTGCCCTGAGTACAATGTCCAATAGGATAAGACGATTGCAATTTCCTCGATGCGAATTGTTTCCAACAACCAGCAGAACAATGAGAACTCAGTGAAAAACATTAGTCAAATGAATGAGCCAAATCATCGAGTGGGAGAGGAAAATTGAAACTCGGGGGGGTGAATTCCCCGGAGTAGGTATATACCAGTCCGGCCGATTTAATTCGGGAATCTGGAAAGACGCCACGTCCTCCGTATTTTCCGACTTTATAACGGCCAAGGGGAATTAATAATCCAGGGCTCGGCGTCGAGTCCCACGAGAAGAGGGAAAATAAAGGGGGAAAAAAGGTAGATATAGGGATGATGCAGAGGGTTCGGGGAAAAGTGCCTCTGCAGTTCCGCACGAGCGCTGGGCCATGAAGAAGCAAAACTCTAGGACCCAGAGAGTGCAAGAGGGAATCGCCAACGAGGGAATCAACTTAACCACCCCCCTCAATACTCCTCTCTCTTCAACTCCAGCGATTTACTCAAGCCGTCCTACTATTTTCTTTCCTTCCACCCTCAATTTTTCTTTCTCACATCCGGCCGCCAATTCCTCGTGGAACCTACGACCAAAACGTTACTCGTATAAACTTTAAGACCGATACAAAATGTCACATTGTACATGTAGTGTAAGGCATCCATCGGGGGCTCACCATTGGGGTTTCCGTACCTGAATTTATCATTTGAATGTATTATTCTTTCGCGGTTTTCAGTAGAAATGATCTACGCCCCATTGGCCACTCGCGAGACAAAATATCGGGATTAAGGGAAAATAGGACAAAAGAAATTCTATTCAATGCTCTTTATTTGTGATTTGTAGTCTCGAAAGTTTCGAGAATGCTTTTTTATTTGAAGAAGTATGAAAATTTTGGGAACCATACTTCCCTAGTAAAAATGAAATTATTAATATTTTATATTTCATTTAAATGGATTGCTTTTATTATTAATGCAATTAATCGGGAATTAATGAAAAATCGAGGGATTTGTCGTATTATGAAATTGAGAATTTCCACTGATTTTCCTGGCAGATTAAAACTTTGAAATTCCGCGATTTTTCAAAATTTTAGTGAAAAAAGAAAATTATAAAAATTTCCAATCAAGTATTTTTCATGGTATATCCTGCATATACTGCAGGCTTCAAACATTTTTCATAGTATATCCTGGAAGATACTTCACTTGTAGACTGATAATTTTTCAAGGGAATAAAAAATTCACATCGGAGCGATAAACGAGGCGCTTTAGGACCAAATAGGAAAGGATGATTAACCGTTAAAGCTGTGGTATACGAAGCGATATAAAATCGAGAATGAGTGTAGAATTCGCGTGCAATGCGATACTTACACATGAACAAAAAAAAAAAAACGATATCTCCGGCCGGAATCGCCTTCACACGGATCTCTCCTGATTCCCGAAGGATCGTTTCCGTTATTGGCAAAAATGAAATTACCTCGGTGGTTTTCGATAC